AAACAGAGAAGAAAGGGTCTGCCAAACACCCTCACCTCTGCCCAGAAAACTCAAGGGCATCTTTTCCTGGTAATAAGGAAATTCTGTGCCTTTGGGGAAAGCTGTCACACTGGCCTTGTTATGGAGCAACCCCGATATAAAACGGGTTGCCTGGCTGTGGGTCCTCACCCGTTAGGACATCCTTTTCCCCCTAACAGCCTCATATTGTTTAGCCACACAGTGGAATTTGAGAGTCACTAGAAATACATTGAGAACACAGTGGCAGACACCTCCATGTACCCCTTGCATCACAATTCATCCCTGCTCCAGTCTGATACAAAACAGCATGGAGTACGTTCAAAGGCAAGTCCAGTCACTAGTGGAACCCTTGAAGAAGAGGTTTACAGGCCCCTAGAAGCCACTGCACTCACACTGAGCATCTGAGCCAAAGTCAGGTGCACAGACTCACCTCTTATTTCCCCCCCAGAAATCAGGCCCAGGCTATGCTCACTGAATCACCAAGACACAAGGAGAAACTGTCTTCATCAATAATGTGAAAGCCTCTGCAAACTCAGCACTTAAGACGAGCACTGTCTGTCTGAGGATGCCATTCATTTTGGGGGTGACAGGAGATACTTCCATATTTTCCAGAAATAAAATAACTACTATTCACTATGTCTCTACACTAACAGAAGTTCAAGTGGGGCGATGGAAAGGTCACTTGCCATTAGAGGTGGGTGATGGGCTTAGCATCCTAATGCCCTTCCTCTATGATGTGGATTTGTCTCCTGTTATGGAAGGGATGGCCCTTTTCTGGCCCCTGACCGTGAGAGGACAGTCATATGATCTAGCCTCAGCAAATCACATGTGGTCACCCAGGATTTTTAATTGAGGGACAGCAGCAGTGGCATCTGGGCTCCTGGGCTCAGCTGTGGTGTTCAACAGTCAGTGGTAGCAGGGCCAGACTTCAGGACATCTTAACTAGACTGTCCCTGCAGTGTAACCTTAGCTGTGTTCCTGCTGCTCACCCTCCCTCAGATTTGGCCTGTTCTCCAAACCTGGTTATTTAGTCTCTGGTCAGGTATGATAACCACTCATTATCTATCTGCTAACATCAAACAGCGTGCACTTCTGTTATATGCCCTCCAGAATGCTTACTGGCACAGAAAGTGATATCCCCTACCTAGCACAGTCTTCCCTGGAGCTCACAGACCAGGGAGGAGTGCTGGGCAGGATGATTTAGATATCTAGGTATCTTAACAAAGGGGCTTTTGTCTCCTTCCCTGCAGGGGGCTTGACTGCCTCACTGTTAAGTTTCCTTTCCTGTTTAAAATTCCATGATTCCATGATTCTACATTCTGCTGGCCAGCGCAGACTCAAAGCTACTCAAGTATCTGCATCCTTAGTGGCAACGGGAGGGTTTATGGGAAAAGATGTCACTGTGTGAAACCCACAGATAGATCTGGTCAAATCAAATAATCAGAGTGTCTCAAGTTGCTATATGTTTGCAAGGGTCCCTAAGGAGGTATATATCTCCGGTAAACACTGATTTGGGCATGTCAAGGCCAAGAAAACCCATAGAACATTTAATAATGTTCACAGGTTTCTGTTAATTAATGGTCCCCTGGAGACAAAGAGAATCAGAGATGATAAGACAGTGAGTGTGTCTCACACTTAGAAACTCAGTATTTTAAATAATTTTGTAGTCATGGTCACAACATGCAGTCATAGGGGTTTTTTTTTTTTTTTTTTTTTTTTTTTTTTTTTTTGGCATGTGGGGAGGGGGCAGAGATTGTTTTTAAACTCTTCCCACACTTACACTATTAACAAATGCAAGAAAAATCCACTCAAAACTATAGACCAGGGGTCTCCCTGGTGGCGCAAGGGGTTAAGCATCGCACTACGAAGCAATCCACAGCCTCTGCAGCATGAGTTCAATCCCTGGCCGGCCAGGGAGAAACCCACATAGCGAGGCAGACCTCTCCTGTCTTGCCTGCTGCTCCCCTCAGCAGTGTGTTTCAGTCAGTCTGCCTGTTCTGTTCCCCACTCTGTCTCTGGTGAATCCTCTCACCCCCCGCATCTCTGGCCTATACTCCAGCTCTTGTATGCATGAATAAATAAATCTTTAAAAAAAAAACAAAACAAAACTATAGACCAGGAAAACTTATATAGTTTATGGTAAACCAATCTATCAATATTTGGAAATCGGTTCAAAAACAGCTTTTAGAGAAGAGGAGGATTATAATGGATGAAAGAGGCTTAAGAAACATGTCCATCAAATGTGGTGGTAGATTCTTGGCTGGCTCATGATCGAAATAAACCAACTGTAAAAAGGTATTTTTGAGACAGTTTGAGAAAATTGGATATGAACTGAACATTAGATGATGTCCAGGAATGATCAATAATTTTCTTGGAGGAATTAGCAGTGTGGTGGTGGTGTTTTTTTGTCCAAGTCTGTATTAATTTAAGATACATGCTGAATGTATAGGTGAAGGGAAAGAATACCTTGGGTTTACTGTAAAATACTCTAGCACAGGACTATTTAAAACTATGCTCTGTCATCAGTGCCATTTTTCAGATTGCTATCAGTCTATGATTAATGCAAAAATCAATAATAAGTATGGAGAAACAGAGTACTCTGATGTTGCCATGGCATCCAAGCAGGGCTTGTCTCGCTGACCATGACAGAACCCTTTGAGAGTGTTGGACTTGCTGGTGAGTAGCATGTGGTATGAGCATGAGCTGTGTAGCTGGCATTGGTCATGAGAGACTGGAAATAGAACAAAGGGGTCAGTCACCACCCCTAGCATAAGAAACAATGCTTTGGCACACACAAGAAAAACAGAATTACAGCAGAGAAGAAAGACTAGAAGGAGGATTAGGAAGGTTCCAGCAATGACAGCAATGACATGGCATTTGGTTTTGTTGTATTAGGGTTCTGCTCCCCTTCAAATAAGACCTATGGATTTTTATTTAGAATCATAGAATGTTTTTCACCTTTGTAGATTAAAAAAAAAAAGTGGGGGATTGATGAAAAAGATTGGTAGAGAGCTGACAGCTGTTGAAACTACTTTTGTGAATGTTTGAAAATCAGTATCATTTGGTAAATTAAAAAGTTTTTAAAAAACAGCCCATCAATGGACATCTTTAAAATATGCATTCAGCAAATCAAAACTACCATGAGATACCATCTTACACCAGTGAGAATGGCACATATTAAAAAAACTAGCAACAACAAATGTTGGCGAGGGTGTGGAGAAAAAGGAACTCTTCTGCACTGTTGGTGGGAGTGCAAACTGGTCCAACCACTGTGGAAAACTGTATGGAGATTTCTGGACCTACTAAACATAGAGCTTCCATATGATCCAGCAATTCCACTCCTAGGTATTTACCCAAAGGACACAGAAACATCAATTCCAAAGAGCACCTGCACCCCTATGTTTATAGCAGCACTGTTTACAATAGCTAAGCTTTGGAAACAACCCAAATGCCCAAAAGTAGATGACTGGATCAAGAAGATGTGGTACATATATACCATGGAATATTACTCAGCATTCAAAAAAGATAAACACATGCAATTTGCAGCAACATGGATGGCGCTGGAAGGGATCATGCTCAGCGAAATAAGCCAAAAAGAAAAAGAAAAATACCGGATGGTCTCACTCATAGCAGGAATCTAGAAAACTTAAATAAGGGACCAGGAAAATGAATAACTATAAGAAAGTGAAAATCAAAATCAACAAAAAACTATGAACCAGAGACACTTTTAGGGGGCGGGGGTGGGAGGGGAGGGATTGGGGTCAGAATGGGGGGCTGCAATTGTATGGGGAATATAACAATAAAATTTATTAAAAAAAAAAGATAAAAATAAAAAAAAATAAAAATCAGAAAAAAAAAAAATAAAATATGCATTCAAGTACATATGGTTATATCTAAACATATGTATATATAATGTGTGTGTTTCAATACAATAACATAGCAAAATGACATACAGAATCCATAGCTCACAAAAAGATTATACCTAATGGTTCAAATAAAACTATTTTTCAAAAGCAGTCAGGTAGACAAACTGAAAGCAATTTGCTGGGTCATGAACTTGGTGAGCTTTTATTACAAAATAAACTGATTACATAACAAACTCCTTTAAGCCAAGGGTCCTTTGAGACACCATATCTTTGTCTCCATCCCACTTGACCTAGGATACTGCAGAGTAAATGGTGCTTAATAAGCACTGACTGATAGGCTAAGCTCTGGAAATGAATTTGGAGCAGTATGAGCAGTCATTTAATTCTCCATGCTGTAATGCCATACTGCTCTATCAATCTGAAAATCAGTTTCTCGAATATACCCTTATGAAGATTTGTCACAATCTTTGAGCCTATGGAGGACTCAGAACATAGCTAACATCCTCATTTTTCTTTTTTCTTTAGATTTAATTTTTTTTAATTTATTTTCTTCCATCTTTGTTAATTTTGGACCGGATTTTATTTCCCCCTTGGTGTGGTCCCTGTCATTCTCCAATCACCACAGCACCTGTGATCCATCACCACAGTCCCTTGTGCTCTTCCTCCCCTATTTTGACTCCTCTCCCTCCTCCTCCCCTGCTGTATGTCTCAGGTCTACAGTCAGCAAGTTCTCATTTTGCTGATGGAATTAAGACCTGGAGGAGGGGTACAAACCTCTCTGGACACCTCATTGTCAGTGTTGTGACCTCGGATGCCCACAGTTGATTCTTCCTTCCCCTGTGATGTCTCTCAGAAGGTGCAAACCCACCTTCCATCTCATGCCCCTTGCTCCTGGTTTTAAAATGATACAGTTTCAATCATAGGAAAGAGATAAAAATTGTTGTGCTGGTTCTACCAGGAAGCTGAACAGGAGATATGAATTACAGAACAGGTTCATGTCATGTTACAGCTACCCTGTGGCCATTTGTGCCTAGCCTGGGTAAGATAAGCTCTCTGACATTCAGGAACTTTCTATTTGGGGAAAATGTACAAATGTTAATAGAGGATGGTCCTACTGTGTAGGATAAAGCAGAAATGGGTAGAGCCATGGGGCTGGAGAAGAAATGGAATGTTCTGGAGGTGTGAGAAAGTTTGAGCTTCTGGGGCTCTGATGACATATTAGATCCCACACGGCGTGCCCCCGCCCCCACCCCAATGGCTCTCTTCTCTGTTTTTCAGATTGAGTAAATTTGATTGAATTGTCTTTAATTCAGTGATTTCCTCTTTGGCCATCTACATTCCATGGAATTGTTCTTTTTTTCCATTTTGGTGTTTGCACTTTTCAGTTTGCAATTTTCACTGCAACCAATTTCCAATTGGTTCTTTTTTGTAACATATTTCATTGCTGAGAAAGAAGTTTTCTATTTTTTTTTTATAAGTTTCAAGTGATTTCATAATTACTTATTGAAGCCACGTTTGGTGGCTGATTTAAAATCCTTGCCAGATAGATCCAACATCTGATTCATCCCACGCCTGGTGTCAGCTATTGTCCTCTCTCATTGTGTTGTGATTTGCCTAGATTTTGATATGACAAGTGATTTTTTATGGTATCCTGAATATGTTGCATATTTTGTTAGCAATCACTTAATCTTACATAAATCTTTTAGTATGCAGCCACCCTGTTTAGTTTTTGCTACAGTTTCAATGACAACTTAGTCTTCTGTTCATTATTTTAAAATAATAATAATAATGATGAATATGCCCTTTTTCATTTTGGGAAATAGGAAGCTTACAACTTCTCAGAAGCATACAGCCAACATGACAGCCAGGAACCGGTTCAATATCGGGGCTGCTCTATAACATTTGCACACTAGACACTTTTATATCACCTTTGAACTTTTTCACAGTAACTGTAGAGCAACTGGGAACTACACCTGAAAGCTCTGTAAAGAACTCTTCAGGGAAGTCATCATTCTACCTAAGAAAATCCAGATGATGCCCTACAGCTGGCACTTGGGTTTCTCCTGAAACAAATAAGATGATGCTTAGCAATGGAATTTGAAAAGTGCAGAGAAATCTCCTTTAAGAACATGATTCCCCTTTTCAGAAACCTTTGAAATCTTGTTTAACCCAGTCTGAATATTTGGTTGAAGAGTCCCTCTAATCCATTTTTAAATTTGACAGAGATGAAACTAAGATGCCTTACAACATTCAGAAGCAGAGGTGCCTAGTCTGTTGCCATTCTGGATCCAAACTTGAATTACACCATGATTTAGAAGAAAGTAGCTGATCCAACTTTTCCAACTTCAACCTCATAAATACTGCCAAATGACAAAGCCTTATCTTCAAGGGAGGTGGTTGTTAGTGAGTCATGGCGGAGGGGTTTCACCAAGGAGCGGTAGCAATATAGGACCAATGAGAAAGGGATAAGTAACTACTATGGATGGGGTCACCTCCCAATTTCAGTGCACTCTACCATTTACAAAGCATTTCAGGCATATTTTGTACACATATATATTGAAGTTATTAACTTATAAAGGTCTTATAAAGACTGACCATCTGTTATGCACACATTGCAACTAAGTAAATTCAGGCCCAGAGAAGCTGAGTGACATGCCTGGAGGCACACAGTGGCAAAGCAAGATCTCAAGGTCTTCTCTTTCTTCAAATTCCAGCATCTCGTGTTTTGCTATTTCCCGGTTCAGAAGATGGGAGAAAAGGGAAGAGGAGGAGCTGGACAGAAGCTAATAGACTAAACAAAGGTTTTTCTTCCCCGCCCCCTTTTTTTTTTGGTTCATGGGTCTATGTATGTGTGCCCCAAAAAATTTAAGATAAAGGAGACCTGTATATAATGGGAAAGAGGAAGGAAGTGAAGGTGAATGTCAGGGCATAGTTAGGCATTATATCTTTGCTACCAGGAATTGTAACCACTGCATCTGTGAATTCCACACCTTACATCAAAATGGGCCACATACCTTTTAGACTCAATGTGGCAAGCTTTAATCAGGATCCCAGGGGGACCTTGCAAAGGCAACCAGAATTCTTTCACAGTTTGAATGCGCATGAATTGCATTCTCATGAAATAATAAAGTGTGCTTTAGGCATTCAACATCAAGTTGCAAAAGTTGAAGGAGACAGAGGAGAAAATAAGAGAAGGAGGGAGGAATGCTAATGTTGTGTCTTCTGTGAATGCACCACCTAATGAAACAGCCAGTGGAAAGGATTCACTTAGGTAGACTTGGAGAATATTTTGTTCAATTCACTGTCTCTGATGCATGGCTCTTGGGTATTTAAGAAAAAAGCAATGAGTGGAGAAGCCCAGTGAGTTGCCTTACTCTGGTCCACAAGCTTATCTGCTTAATTATTTATCCCAAAGGAGCTGTCATTCAACTCACTTTACATGTTCTTTCTCTGAATATAAACCTGTGATGATGGAGTTCTCTGACTAATGAAGTAAATAACAGTTACACAAACTTAAAACACGGGTAGTATTCTCTCCTTTAAAGTTCTGATGTCCTGTAAGCAAATCCATCCTCACAGAGGCCTTGGAAGAAGGCCACAAATAATAGGCCAATCAGAATGTTCATTAGTTTGTAAGATGGCGATGTGATCTGTAGGGAAGAATTCAACAATAATGCCAAAGGCCAGAGCCTCACTATCCTTATCTCTTAGTCACTATTAAAGGTAAACTGAGATAAATGGAAAATGCCCTCTAACCACATGAAGATCAAATTAAAGAGTGAGATTGCAGGAAATCAAATACCTTGTACTGAACTGTCACAAGCACTTACTCCGATGCAAACCAACACATGTCTCGCTTTTTTTTTTAACCTAAGGTGATTCTGGCTTTTAGACTTCTAAAATCTTTGCTTTCCAATCCTACCTCTTGCTGAACGCTCTCAGGACTGATATTAATAAAGGCTATTAAATTACTGACCGTAAAATATCGCTGTCAAATAGAAGCTGCTGCTTCCCCGCATGGAGATTCAAGTTAGCTTATATCTTTTGTCCTTTAACAATAATATAAAATAATCTAGTATTCTTTAGTTGGTGACTATGGAAACTAACCTCCAATATTTCAGCAACTGGATAATACTAAAAATGACAACATCCTTCAAGGGCATCTATTCATTTGTTTTACATTAAAAAAATAAAATTAGCCAACTTAAAATTCAACTTGTAGCTTTTCAATCATAAGTCCCACTGATTTTATGATTATTTGAGAGCCAGTTGAACAGAAGAAGTCCATGGAAAAAGATGCAGACAACTGCCTTTCAGAGAAAAATCTGAAATCTTGTTTCCTCAAGTATGTCTCCATCACCTGTTCATTTGCCCTTTGCTAGCACTTAGATCTTCTGCAGAGCTGGCCCTGCACTTCAATGTGGAACATTGTTTCTTACCTCTGATCTTGCCAGAACTGGGAGCCTTAATATGTAAATCCTCCTGTAAAAGACTTCTCTCTCCAGCCAAGAGTGCCCAAAAGACCTGCCTGAGAGAGCACAGTCACTTGTAAGGTACATTTTTAGACTGATTTATTTGCACAATCCACTTTCTGAAAGCTTATGGAGTCACGCCAATTAAATTTCACCCAAAGCTCCTCAAAATCCAATTGCACAGTGCAGCCAGTTTCCCTTGTTATTACCTTAAAAAAAAAAAAAAAAAAAGTGATACAGCCTTCTCTCTCAACATAACTTGTCCGATGAACAGTTGAGGCAGGAATTAATAAGAGGCTTCCAATTATATTTTCACAGAGCTTGGTGCCAAGTGATGTCATTCTACCAACCAAGCCTCAAACACAGTTTCAGGACACAAGCTGTGGCACAGGGCAACTGCCAACATGAGCCTGAGCTGGCTATTTAAAACTGCCCCCTGGGGAGGCAGAGCTCAGGCCTGGAGGGCAGGGCCACAAGGAGCACCTGTTCTGGGAAAACACTTACAGATGGAGCTTGGGGTGTTGGACACAGGACAGTACAGGGGTGAGGAGCCAAATGGTTCAGAGAGTGACAGAGGGTGCTAGAGACAGGCAGGTAGGAGGCACAAATGATGAGAGGAAGGAGACCATTTGGGCAAAGGATTTCTCTTCCACCACAAACTGGCAAGACTGCATGCATCAGTCTTGCTGATCATAATTAAGCTACACATACTTTGGTGGGTGGTGCAGTTGTTTTCTTCTCACCTTTCACATTTGCAATCTGATGGAAATGAAAAGACTTTTTTTGTAATTTGGAAATTTTAGCTGTTATTTCAGCTGGTCCAAATGTTCCTTCCAAACTCAGTAATATAAAACAAGGGATTAAGATGTGATATACTTTTTGGAATCATATATAAATCTTCATATTATTTTGGGATATATATTCTTAATCACGTGGTTTCAATTTTTACAACTTGGTACAATTCTTATACTAGATTCCGCCTTGGGCTCTGTGCCCTTTAGAAGACTCATCTCATGGCAGCTTGTTCTCTAGGTTTGGTTCTACCAGAAGTAGACTCTGAGTCATGTATTCAGATACAAGAAATTTATTAAGGAAAGGCTCCCAAGAGACACAAGTTAATGAATGGGAGGAAGACGGCAGGGAAAGCGAAGGAGCCAAGCAAAGCTCCCAGCCTTACCTGATTCAGAGGGGAGCTCTGGAGAGTAAATTATGCCTCTGAGCATGTCCTTCCTTGAGACAAGGAAGCTGGGTTTTTGGCCCTCAATCCTGGGCTTAGATCAAAGGAAGTGATAGGGAGGCGTGGTCTTTGGGACTATAAAAACCCAGAGGCTGCTGACTCTCCACATGGGCTGAATTAGCTCCAGGACCAGGTCACTGTGGCTGGGAACTGAGTTGGCAAGAGAGACCGAGGGGGTCTGGGTGGTGCAAGCGCAACAGCGTCAGCCTCAGGCTACCCTCCCTATTGCCTGCGCTCATCACTAGGCCCCAGTTACACGTCTTTCATCACATTCTGCTGCAAGAGGAAGTGAATAATATCATTTGAAAGTCCTGGGGTTGGCTTTTCATTATCCAGAGACACACTTTCTTTCTTGGGTGGGTAGAAGTGGGCATCCCTGGAATGCCTCTGTAAGGCTGAGCAGCCATCCCGGCTGAAGATGACCCGGGCCATCTGAAAACTGCGGAGGGCATACTGCGGCGGGTTCTCCTGGCCCTTCAGTTCATTGACTTTCTGAGTCAGGCATCGGCAGACAGATGCAGAGAGTGGACTTCTAGAGGCTGGCTGTGGGTGGCTGAACATTTCATAGAATCTGTCCAGAGATTCCCGAAGTGCATCATCCTCTGCTTTGGTCTCTTGTTGACCTTTCAAAGAAGGGTCAAGCCAGAAGTTCTCAGAGGTCCAAGAATCATTGTGCTCAATATTTAGGTTATTGTTGTCTGCAAGACAAAACACATTACAATACTTGAACATGCATTACAAAATATCAAAAAGCAAGCCAAAAGCAAATGATGTCCCTTCTCAATTCAACACACTTATTGCCTCTGGTATACTGGAAATGGGCAGAATCAGTATTAGAATCTGTCCCCACCATCTTGGGGTTAATCTACTTGTTTGCTCAAAACAAGAACATCTTATTTGCATTTATCTTCGGTTCTGAGTCTAGAGTCTGTATAGAGAAGTTCAGGGTGCTGTAAACTTGGATGGGAAAAAAAATCAGGTCTTTTTCATTAACCTCTACCTGAAATCAAGCATTTCTTTCCACGGTGAATGTAGGCAACTGAAAAGCAGCAGCACCTGTGGTTTTGTCACCCACAGATCACAGCTATTTTCATATCACAGCATAGCTTGCTGAAGGTGTTTTGAAATATTATTGCTGTCTATCACTAGTCTATGGACTGAACTGTGTCCCTCCCAAATTCACATGCTAAAGATTTATTTCTAATGTAATTATTGTATTTGGACTGGGACTGTTAGGAAGTTATTGAGATTAAGTGAGGTTGGGTCCTAATCTGATACAACTGGTGGCCTTAGAAAATGAGGAAGAGAGAGAGTTCAATCCAGATGCAGGACCAGGGAAAGGCCATGTGGGGGCACAATGGGAAGGTAGCCTTCTGCATGACAGGCAGAGGTTACTCACCAGAACTTGACCAGGCTGGCTCCCTGATCTTGGACTTCCAGCCTCCAGAAATGTGAGAAGATAAACATCTGTTGCTTAAGCCACCCAGTTTATGGAATTTTATTATGGAAGCATGAGCAGACTAGCACACACAAATTTGAAATTACCGTAGCTACTAGTCTTTTTTTTTTTTTTTTTAAAGATTTATTTATTTATTTATACAAGCACTGGGTACAGTCAGAAGTGCGGGAGGGCGAGAGAATTCACCAGAGACAGAGCAGGGAACAGAACAGGCAAACTGATGAAATACAGGTCTGTTGCGCCATGTGGGACCCTCGCAGGTGGCCCGGGATCAAACCGGCGCTGCAGAGCCTTCGGGCAGCTTTGCAGAGCAGCGCTCAACCATTGCGCCACCAGGGGAGGCCCCATAGTTACTAGTCTTGATACTAGACCTTACTATTTAATCCCTAATTTAATAACACATTCATTTTAATATCATAAATGTGTGCTTTAGATATTTTACTAACTACATCTCAATTTTTTTTCTTTGGTGATTCTGCATATTTTACTTCATGCATTAAAAAAAAAAATCATTCTGAGAAAGAGTAAAGAGTTGACTGGCCTCCACAGATACCAAAGGGACCCAGGTTACAAACTAGGGTAGTGGAAAAACATTCTGAGCATTTACACAGTTCAGACATTTTCTTCCTCTACTTCCTAAAATAATCCTATCGACTACTTACCTCTCAGTTGAAATGACCACCTTTGTGTTTACTCAAATTAAGTGATTTAACAGACAATAAGTTATGCGGCTCCATATCCTTTTCTTGTTCTAACTTTCTGTACTTCTCTGAGGACCCTAATTCCTAACAGAGGAATCTCTTTTGAAATAAAGGTCTTTTGAAATATAGGGATTTCTATCAATGTGTTCTAGAAAAGATTTTATACAAATAAAATCAGCTACCAGTTTTATTCTGTAAAGTTTTATCCTTTAGAACAAAAATCTGTTTTCCTTTTTTGCTCTAATAAATCACTAGCTTTAATTCCCTACACACCCTGCCCCCGCAAACTCAATTAGTAGTTATAAAAATATTTGTACTTGCTAATGATGAAAAACTGCATGATGCAGTGGGTGGAGTTTTAGAAAAGGAGGCAAGATTTGGGGGTGTAATTTTATATTGCTACTAGCTAAATATGTCACCTTGAACAAGTGATATGACCTTTCTGAGCTTCTGCTTTATCATTTACAAAACAAGAGTTTTACTAAACTAGGTTCCTTCTAGAATTTTCTGATAATACAGAGAAGTAAATGATTCAAAGCATCAGGGCATCCAAAAAGGATATGGACACGTGTTCTGTGAGACACACACAGGCCCACACATGGACAAGTATTCATCATTCAACATACTTTTATAGAAAGCTGACACAAATGCAACTCATTGCAACTTGCTACCAGATTCACAAAGGACATTTCACTGAAGAAGACACACAGATGGTCAGCACGCACATGAAAAGATATTCTTCGCCACTTATCATCAGGGAAATGCAAATCAAAATCACAATGAGATTTCACCTCACATCTGCTAGAATGACTGCTATCAAAAAGTCAAGAAACAATAAGTATTGGTGAGGATATGGAGAAAAAGGAACCTCATACACTGTTGGTAGGGATGTAAACTGGTGTAGCCACTTTGGAAAACTGTATGGAAGTTGTGAAAATAGAACTACTATATGATCTAGCAATTCCACTTCTGGATATTTATTTGAAGACAATGAAAATGCTCATTCAAAAAATATATGTACCTCTACATTCACAATAGCCAAGAGATGGATGAATGGATAAAGAAAATGTGTATATATATGTATATGTACAGAGAGGCCTCTCAAGCTCTCAATCATTAAAAATGAAAAAGAGACTTCCTTTGACTCTGCTATTCCGTGTTTCACTACAAATGTATCATTCATATATATATATATATTTATTTATTTACACACACACACACACACACACACACTGGAATACTATCCAGCTATTTAAAAAAAGATGAAATTATGCTATATGCAACCACACAGATAAACCTCAAGGGGATTATGTCAGGTGAATAAGTCCAAAAGAGAGAGACCAATACAGTACAAACAAAACAAAACAAAAACAAACTTTGAGATTCTGAACCACAGAATGGTGGTTACCAGAGGGATGGGGGTGAGGTGGGTGGAACAGGTAGAGGGAACTGATTAAATGGTGGTGGATGGGGACTAGACTCCTGGTCGTGGGTGTGGCTGATATGTACAGTTGTTGAGGTGTGAAGCTGCGCAGCTGACACCTATGTTGTAAGCCAATGTTATCTCAATTAGTAAAAAAAAAATTTATAAAAATACACAGAAGGATGCCAAAGACCATCTCCTACAGCTAAGGTACTTGGGCTGGAAGAAGAGGACACACACTTATAGACATCAACCACGGAAAAATCATGACAGGATACACATACATACACAATGATGCGATTCTACTAACTGGGGATGGTGTGGATACACATACACACAAAGTGATGTGATACTAAGTGGGGATGGTGTGGATGCGAAGGGCAAATGCAGTGTTAGAGAAGGACCAGCTCATAGCAGAAACAGTGAGGGCTGCCTCCTTGGGAATGGTACCAGTGATCTTAATATGACAAGATCAGGGACCAGGGAAACAGTGGGGTTAATGCACAAAGGCCCGTGGGAAGAAACAGAAATTAAACTACTTGACAGCTGGTGTCTTTATTTTCTACCAACTTCAGCTTCAGCAGCCTGAGACCCAGCCTGGAGGCAGGAGGAGAAAGGATTCAGAGCTGAAAGCAAGGCAACTAGGACTGACAACAGAGACTACATGCCTTTAGGAGAATTTAATAGTGGGGATGATGTTTCTACTTACTTTAATGCTGACAAGCCTAAAACTAAAGCTTAGATCCCTTAATCATTAAAAAAAAAAGAAGAAGAAGAAGAAGAGGGAACGGGCCTCCCCGGTGGCGCAGCGGTTGAGCACTGGGTTGCGAAGCTGCCCGCGGCCTCTGCGGCGCCGGTTCAATCCCCGGCTACTCCCCGGCCACCACAGGAGGGTCCCACATGGCGCGCAGACCTCTCCTGCCACCCGCTGCTCCCCTCAGCAGTGTATTTCGGTCCTTCTGCCTGCTCTGCTCCCCGCTCTGGCTCTGGTGAATTCTCTCGCCCTCCCGCGCTCTGACTGTACCCAGTGCATGTATAAATAAACAAACAAATAAAATAAATAAATAAATACATGCCTCTTAAAAAAAAAAAAAAGGAAAGGAGGGAGAGAGGGAGAGAAAAAGGAAGGAAGGGGAGAAGGAAGTAAGGAAGACTTCCTTTGGCCCTGCTAGTGTCTGTTTTATTGACCAAGTAACTCCCAACAAACCTGTGGCTGAACTACAGCCTCCTGGGTGGGTGAGGGAGGCAGAGGCTGATTTCATTCTGGTTTTGATGTCAGAGAAACAGGAGAGGAGTTCCTAGCCACTAACTTGGAATGCTGAGCACACTTTCCAATAGCAACATTTTAAAAATCCATACCAGCCACTACTGTCTACACTGTGGGAGGGGATGTGGGCAGGCAAAGTGGAAAGTTGTGGGTCATTTACAGCAGAGTGATTTTTAACATAGTCTCCAAAATCAAGAAGACCCAAGTTCCAATCCCTGCTCTGACAAGTTTGAACTGTGCAACACTAATTTATTTAAACTTCTGAGACCCAGTCTGCTTGTATGTACAATGGACATACCAACAGCAATCATCTCATAGCCATTCTTCAGTCCACCTTGAAGAATGCCTAACTTCAGGCTGATAATAAGAAAGTACAAGATGAGCCTGGAATATAGTGTTCTAGCATCCAGGTTGTCTAGTAGGATCTACAGCCCATGGGTCTGGGAACAGCTCTGCTAGTCTTCAATTTCCTGCTCCAATCTCACTTTCATTTCCTTCATACCCTTCTAATCCTCTCACAGCCACCACCCCACTCCATGTGTGAAGAGGTCATTGGATGAGCTCCAGCTCCCACTTCAAAACCTCTGCACTTGCTGCTCCTCTGCATGGAACATGCTTGCTTCACCTATCTGCATGGCCCCCTCACTTCCTTCTGGCCTCTGCTCAGATGTTACAGTTTCGATGAGGCTTTCTGTACCAGTCAGGCCGGGCTAGGTCATGCTGCATAAAAAACAAGTCCCAAATCTCAGGGGCAAAAACAACAAAGGATTCTTGCTCATACTTGTAGCTCTGTGTCATACTCTGCAGATGTGTGTCATTCTTGCCCTAACCTGGACACTGGCTGATGG